ACTAAGAACTATCTAATGCATCTAATGCACTACAATATTTCTCATCCCAACGCAGACTAGTACAACTATTGAATGTACTTTAGTTGCTTTTATTTCCAGTATTCCTTTCATTGTCTGGTTGCTTATAAAAAAAAAAGTAAAAGTGAATATAGCTTAATAATGCTGCAACTTTTTTGTGCACTGCCTTCTGATGTCTTGCAGACAAACAATTATGTATAGATTGCAGAACACAGCTTTAAGAAGTCTGAAAATACCTTCATGGTTGTCACTTGTGGCTGTGGCAACTACTTACAGTAGTTATAATGACCCAAAGTGTTGATTGAAGAGAGAACTGTAAATATATTACTTGAATGAAAGTGAAATTAATGGAGAAGGGATTGTCCCATCTCTACTCTGTTCTTTTGTTTATGTCTGCAACTGAAATTTTTGCTTCTTCTAAAGACAATCCTCTGCCTTGTACTAGCAGTATCCCAGTGAGGTAACTGATTACCTCATAACTCCAGAAGGTAAATGGTTAAGTTTGTGAGTAAACCCAGAGCAGTCTTAGAGTTTTGTTCCAGGTAGAAAAAGGAAGATATCTGCCTGAATTAGAAAAGAGTTCTTCCAGAAGAAACTTGTAACTCTTGGATTGTCACACTCATTTATTTTTGTACTTTTATAATTTCTGCTACGGATTGACAGGAAGAGTAGGTTTTCTGCCTAGACCTTGCTGATGAAAGAAACAGTAAAAAAATAACATTTTAATTTTTTAGGTGAGAATAGAAGCTCCAGGTCTCCTGATTTGAACTTAAATCTATCATCTCTCTGCAGTATTTGCAGAGGAAACACAGAACAGGCAAGCATCACCCTCTGCTCATGGATGATGCCGCTTGTTAGGCCTTCAGATGGACTTCACTCCCTAAATGTTGATCTCATTTGTGACTTTACATTAATTAATTTCATGGGGCAGTATTTCTTACTAAACACTTAAGGGACAGATGAGCTGTCCTGAGAATTCAACTGATTCCACTTGCTTCTCGCCAGTCTCTCCTCCACAAAGAATTCTTCCTTTGGTATTTTAGGTTATCTTAGCTGTGGGGTCACTAAGCCAAGGTAAAACCCTAATGTTCTCCAGAGAGTGAATAGCAGCTGCCCTCTGGAATCCTCCAGGCTCTACCTGGCATCCATACAGCACCAATAGAGAATATTTTGTGGATAAATTGGCTGTGTCCAACAATCTCAGCCTCATGCATAGAGTGTTGTTAGGTTTGGGTTTTTTTCCCACACTTCTAATACTTCACTGTCATTAATATTCCACAGAATCACAGAATCACAGAATCACAGAATGGCCAGGGTTGGAAGGGACCTCAAAGATCATTAATCTCCAACCCCCCTGCCACATGCAGGGCCACTTCCCCATTTAATAATAGACTGGGCTAGTATTCCAATATAAGAAGTTAAACAGGTGGTTGCTGGACTGGACTGTAGAATAGTACAGTCAATCTCAGCAAGAGTATGAAGCATACAGTATGAAACAGTGAGAGGTTTACACATGGACAGATAAACAGCTGAACAACTCAGGAAACAACAGAAACTTCACCATCTTTCATTTATCAGAGTGACTGTTCTTCACTGTGGTAGTGAGTTCAAATTACCTCATGACTATCGAGAGAAGCATTAAAAGAGAAATGTAAATAACTCAGGGTGTGAATAATGATAGGACAAGGGGAATGGCTTTAAACTAAGACAAGGGAGGTTTAGGTTGGATATTAGGAGGAAGTTTGTCACTCATAGAGTGGTGATGCACTGGAACAGGGTGCCTGAGGAGGTTGTGGATGCCCCATCCCTGGAGGCATTCAAGGCCAGGCTGGATGTGGCTCTGGGCAGCCTGGTCGAGTGGTTGGCGACCTGCACACAGCAGGGGGGTTGAAACTGGAGGATCATTGTGGTCCTTTTCAACCCAGGCCATTCTATGATTCTATGATTTTTGGGGAAGGATAAGACATTCCTTTAGGGAAAGTCCTGTACATAGAATAGTGATACTGAAAACTTTCAAAAGGCCAGATTAATAAAGAGGAAGCATTCAGTCCCACAAGTGGCATCCTAATCTTTGCACAAGTGAGACAGTCGAACTGTTGTATCCAGAAATAGGCTTCAAAGGATGTTTTCCTCTGGAGAGTTCTCAGTGAAGCTCAGATCATCAGAAATGTGGAATTCCCACCTCCCTCAGACCTCCCCACAGCTTGCCCTGTGAGGTGCTGGGATGCATAAAATCAAGCCTGGTGCCCAGAGCACAGCAAGTAGGCTATCATTCTGTCTTCACACTTCTGCTAGCTTGTTCCTGGCAGTGTTCAAGACCAGGTTGGATGGGGCCCTGGACAGCCTGGCCTAGCACTAGATAAGGAGGTTGGTGGCCCTGTCTGTGGTGGGGGGGTTGGAGCTTGATGATCCTTGAGGTCCCTTCCAACCCAAACCATTCTGTGATTCTATGATTCCGCTCTATACTCTTCTAGCAAACTTTTGGCCCCGTGTAAACTGATCATACTGCAGGGCTGAAGCCTGCTTTGTAAGACAATTTGCTCTGTCATGTTTTAAGCCAGATATATACACAAGCAGCTACTTCCATAAGTGAATGCTTTCTCACCAAACTCAGTTCAGTCTGTGCTCCCTGACCCTGCAATAGTATTATATATTATATATATTTATAAATATATATTTAAATATATTAATAATTAATATATATTAATAATTAATATATATTAATAATATAATATATATAATATATATATATTTATAGTTGAATCATATGCAGTTTATGGTTCTGGCTCTTTTCTGCAGTAGGGCCCTCTTACCATTTGTATCTGTCCATCTGATTTCTCATTTCAAATTATAGCACTTTGTGTTGAATTTCCTCTGGTTGAATCAGACCATTTATCAACATCATTTTGAATTCTTATCATGTCCTCCAAAGTGGTTATTCTTCCTCTAAACCTGGTGCCAGTTGCTGTTTGTAAATACATTTGCAGTTCCATCATTCAGTTTGTTAATGAAAAAAATTGAACAGAATCGAGTATACAGTGGCGTATTTTTAAGGTTCTGAGGAAAATAAAAATCCACTGTGACAATGTAGAGTTCATTTTTTCAAGCAGTTATGCAGTTATAGTTATCTTATGTAGAAATAGTGCCAAAAGACTTATTGAAGTAATTGTTTCATTGCTTTTCCTCTTTGTTCTCTAAATCAGTTACTCTGTCAGAAGAAATTAAAGTAGTGATACATGATGAATTCTTGACAAACAAATGTTGGCTGCTTCTTGTTGGCACACTGGGATCTTTTGCCTAAGCCATTAGGTGTTACTGCAATATTAATAATGCTAGCACTTTTTTCTTTAGAATAGTTTGATAACTGTCAAATTTATAGAAGAGATGATGATTTTCTAGTAAAAATTAGACTGTGTGAGGCAATTTCTAAGTTCTTTTCATGAAGATCCTGTTTCAGAAGGAGCTGTTGTGACCAACTTCCTTCTCATTTTTGTTTTCCAAGAACATATTTCAGGCGCAAATCATTAGAAATGTAGTGATACATTTAAATAGAAGTCCAAGTGCTCTGTCAGCCTGAATTTGGGAGACAGCACAAGGTGTACACTGTTTTTCTAATAGGAAATCTCCTGCCTTCTAAAAATAGGCATGTTTTAGTTCTGATTGTTCTGTACTGAAGCAACTGGCTAGATGTCTAATTATTCTAAATATAAAACACAAATAGTGGCAGGCATTCAACCTGTCCTGAAAAATCGTTCCTAGCAGCTATGTGTTCCACGTCTTGGGCACTAGTTCAGAAGTAAGCTGGGTCAGAGGGCCTTTTTCCTTCTGGTTTCTTCGGTGCATTTATATCGATCACTCTGCTGTGTCCTAAAGGGCAAATGATACACAGTGCAGCGTATCCTTTGGAGTCAGGGATCAAATTCATCCCTGGCCAGGATGTGCAACAATAAACGCAGGAAGGAAATGAACTACTTCTGAGAAATGAAGTTGCCTCTAGCACCCTTTCAATTCACACACAATTAGACGTTGTATTTGTGTATAATTATAATGATTTATTCAAAGATGTTTATTAGTCAAAGGCACAATGTCTAGCTTATCTGATAATTACACAGCTGATTAAGTCCATCAATTAGGTTGTTAACGTTGTCAATCTTTTGCATTGAAGTATTAACTTGTGTGGCTTTTCAATGTTTTATTTGTGATCTATGCCATTTTTTGTCAAACTTCAGTTTTTTGAATGTTTCTTTCATGAAAGAGCACGTGGTGATTCTGCTGTGCCTAAATTTCCTTACATGCCTTAATAATTTTTATACTATAGCACTGGCTCTTGTAAAGTGAATTTGAAGAAAAAAAAGCTACACCAGCTTTTCTGCACTGCACCATACACTGATGTATGGGCAGACTCCAAGACCTATTTATTTCTAATCTATAATTTCTATAATTTTCCTCATGTGCACCAGATTCTTAACAATCTGTTATCTAATATGTAGGAAGCTGCCACACCAATATTCTGAGTGGGAATTGCTGCAATTTACAATAGCATGACCAGTAAAATTTACTGTAAAATTTTTCTCCCAATAGTGAAAGACCACAGAAGGTTATAACACACATTATGTATTATAAATGTGCATACTGAGAAGTTCAGAAAAGAGATCAAAGCAACACCAAGTTACTGAACTTCTTAATTTCTGAATGCTAAACAGATGATTTATGTGAGCTCAGGTCAAACACCAGGGGACTGGACATCAGTAGGCATCATGAACTGTCTCAGATGTAACTGGAGGTGCCAGCTGTGAAATACCTAAATATAGATCCAAAGCTTGTTAGTTAAATATCATTTTCCCCTCTGCCACATGTAGCTGTTCATGTACTCAGCACTCCAACCATTTGCTCTTCCTCAGGATTCTGCTCAAAGTACTTTAGTTCTAATAGGAGTTGCATGATGTTTTCTTTCTCAGTATGGTTCTTTTCATTCCCAATAGGTAGCATAAGCCCTTGGGATCTTCTGATCTGCTTATCTTCCACAAAAGGTGATGATACTAGCTGCATTCAGAGAGATGACTTGAATCAACTGGAGTTATTCCAGAAGGTATGAGATTATGGTATTCTTTGTGGGAGTGAGGGCACATGGGTAGCCCAGTTTTTCAGCACCCACTCACGAAAAGAAATGTATCTGATTCCCCTTTTACACTGCAGCAGAATGATTAAACTGATATAAAACAATTTTTTCAAGTTTCCTCTCTATTGAAAAATACTTTTCACATATCAGCATTTCATTTTATATCATGTCCAGAGATCAAAAGCGATTTTCCATTTATACATAATGCGATATTTTGGATGTAGGGATTTCAATATAAATGGAATTAAAGCTGTTTAGTGCCAAGTTTTGCTCTTCTCTTCTTTATTTTGAACTTCTGCATTTTTGGCCACCTCAGTGTGAGGGTCTGGCAGCAAAAGCATCTACAGAAGTTAGAGGAAATTTAAACAAGTACTCCATTAGAAAAATAAAATTTAGGAATGAGGAGAAACATCTAGCAAATGTAGGCAATATTTTAGAATAATAAAACAAGCAGGAGATAAAGCTGGACTAGTTTAGGCTTCACTGTTTGTGTCACTCCTGATTTTTATCTAATGCAATTACTGCTTGTAAACACAATTCAGGCACCTCTCCAAACTGTGACTGCACCTACAATGTGTGAGCTGAACCAGTGTCACCCTCCAAAGCCTTCGTGGGAGTTCTTTGCTCTGACACAGCAGTCTGCTTACTCATAGTGCAAAGCAGCAGTGATGATAAGATTAATTTATTTGCTTGTTTGTCTGCTTGCTTGTTTTTTTTTTTTTTTAATTTGATCATGTTGTGGGTACAATTTAGATTGATTAGATAGGTAAATGCCTGGCCTGTTGGTGAAATATATAAGTGACAAACTGAGGATATTGTTTGAAAAATGGTGACCAAGTTGTAGACACATTTTGTCTTATGATTCAAGTGAAATAGCACAGATAGTGGTGAGACTCTGATCTGAGAGACTGGGAGAAAAAGAGCTACTTTTGGAAAGCATTTATTTTGGGTATTAAGTACGTGCTGGGAACACTTCTGTGTGTTTGCTGAAGACAGGATGCCTTATCTCACTGTATCCAAAATGTAATTTTTATAGCAGTTCCAGTTTGCTAGAAATACAGATGCTATGATTTCAGATCTCAGATTGTAAAACCTCTCGGGCTTCTCCAAAGTGCTTTTTACTCATTCAATGCAATACTACCGTATCTGATCCTTATATAACAATCCTTGCAACACACTGCCATGTCCAGAAGTTTTGCACATGGATAACTGAGGTATAAGGTGATCAAAGGCATTGTCTAAGTTCCATAAGGAAGACTGCAGCACAGCAGGGACTTAAACCAGATGGCCTGTGTTTCTGGATAACATTAAATTTTGGACTAACACTACTCACTGCTGACATGTCCATATGACAGCCCAACACAGTTTCTTGTTGCAGAGACTGAATGTGCTTTTGTTATGTTAGCTTACCACAGTGCCCAAACACAGAAATTCTAGAGGCGTAAAAGGTTTCTGTGCACTGAAAAGGCAGGCAAGGAAGGGGTGAGAGCTCAGCAACCAGACATAAGAATCATAAGTCTGAAATGTTATCGTTTTATGGCCATGCAGTAAAAGCCCATGTTTGAAATTTGTTATTCCATGTTGCGGAGATGGCAAAATTGTAACACTAATGGGAGTTTTGTGCATGAAGCATTCCTGATAAATTAAGCAGAAAGCCATTGAGGGATCGAGCAAAAAGAGAAAAAAAGAGAAAAAAAGAAAAAAAAAAAAGCTGTTTAGCTGTTTTCTGAATGAAATAATTAAAGCTTCTCCTTTCATGTACAGGTAAACCTACTTCCAGAAATTCAGTATTTCCTTTGCAGTAAAGAAGGATTGTGCCAGATAACAAAAGCCTTTTCAGGTAACTTAATTTCCTCTAATATATGTATATGGTGAAGATCAATTACTATTCATCATAGGAAGTCTCTGAAATGAGACCATTATACTTATAATTCCTTTGTATTTTTAGTCAGTAATGCATAGAAGAAGAAAAAATAAAAAGAATAAAATCAATGAAAATGTTACAAGAATGGTAATCAGTTTCTGACAGCACTTAAATACAGACTGTAGTTGAGCAGTATCTTTTCAGTTAAAAACAGTGCACTGTTTGACCACTGCATTCTACAGGAATAATTTGGCTATAAGTAACTTATTTTTGGACTATTCTATGTTAATATGGTGTACTGGTGTATTGGTGTTTAGACTTCAAAGCTCTGGGTTCAATATGGTATGTTTCTTCAGCTTTATAAAAATGTTGTGGCATGGAGAAAGAGTAGGAGTTGGAGTTTGGTTGCAGTCCAGACATAGTTTACTGATAAAAAGCCTTTGTATATTAAGAGCATCGACCAGAAATGTGTGGAGATCATGGGACAGTTGCCAGAGAATTCTAATTTACTATGGGTGAAATTCAGTTCCAAACAGAAACTGACAAAACTGTTGTGCACCATATTAAGTCTATTTAAATTTTGGAGGGGCACATTCTGTTCTCAGTTAGATCACTAAATATCCAGCATCAATGCTATTTTGGATTTTATGATCTATCTTCACTATATAAACTTTACTTGAAAGATTTTTTTTATTTATTTGTTTGTGGGGTTTTTTTTTGTTTTTTTTTTTTTTGTTTTTTTTAATCTAGCAACAACCAACACCACATTTATCCCATTGGTATTTATCTTTGTTTGTCAGAGACATACATGAGATTTGTAGGTCTAATTTCCTTGCCTCGCCTTGCCTTGCATTTTTGTCCTTTTATATATATCCTAGACTTACTGCAAAGATACACCACACGTCACTGAACCATTTAGAAATTAGGTGTCTTCTGCTCCATTATTCTAGTTTTCCCCTTAAGCCAGTGGAGAGAGAGGGGCACCTTCAAAGACTGCTCCATTTTATCTTGAACTCTATCCTTGAAGTAGGTTGGTTAAATTACACCCTGAGGGCACATACCACCAATTACCTCTCACAACTCACTGTAAATGGAGCCTAGACAAGCAGCCTAGATTAAATGCCTGACTTCTGGATGCCTGACTAAACTTAGGGTAGATAGTTCCTAATCTAACAACATGTATTTTCCTTTTAATTTTTACTGTTTCATTTAAAGATTGATGAATATTTAAAACCTGTGTGACGAGTTCTCCTTAAAAAACTGTACACAAAGTATCCCTTTAAGTCAGACATTTGCTAACTTTCTGATGTGGTAAATTGTCAAAACTGATCATAAGGAACATGCAGTATAATGAGTATCTATCCAGACCCCACCAGAATTCCTTATAGTGAAATTCTATTACACCGAGTGAGTTTTAAAAATGTCCTCAGTGATGTATACTGCCTTGGGACTCTTGCACTGGAATGCGAATGAGAATGTATATATAAAAAAACAACTGATAGAGTGCTGGTTTTAGACAAACCTGAGAAGATTTCTAAAAATTTGAAAGGAGATAATTACTTATATAGTAACAGACTGCTTTTAAAAAACACTGGTTACTATCTGGGGAAATGTCACTTGCAGAAGTTTTGTTATTTTACTGCCACAAAACCACAAACAGAAGAGGCACTCACCACACAGAGCTTTCCCTTTAAAATATGCATATTTTCACTGCTGTCCATAAACTGTGGCACAAGCCACTGTGTGTAAGTGGTATGTTAGACTGTTTGGTGTTCTCTCCTCTTTAGGGAAGGGCAATTTGTAAGCATTCTATTCCATATGTGTGCTGCTAGTTCTTTCCTGGCAGAGAAATCTAACCAATGCTGAAGTGCCTTTGAAATGAAGATAGGTTTGTGAGTTCAGCAGCAGCTTCTTCCAGTCCTTCTCAGTCAGTAATAGAGCCTTCTTCTGGCCATCTGCTGAAGTAATGTCAGACTGAAGAAGGCTTGCTACTCATCTCTTAGTTATAATTTTTAAATAAAAGTTAAACTAAAATTAATTGCAGTGCTTTAAAGTAGAAAGAAAGTCATCTCTTGATAGAAATCTAGATATCTCCACATCAGCATGTGGCTTAGGGGCTGAGGTAATTTTTCACTGCAAGTATCATGCCACCTGAGAACCAGGGGGAGGGGATCCAGGACACCCAGTAGAGGTGGACAGAGAAACCTGTGTCTTTCTGGACTAGCAGCTGGAGGCTCAGGTGGGTATCCTATGGAATCCTAGATGGCAGTGGCTATCTGTGTTTGGAGAACTAAATCTAACACTTGGTATCTAAGCTCCCCAAATTGACAGAAGTAAAGTTTAGAGTCAGCACTTTACAAGAGAATATTTAGTTCCAGCATAATTTAGGATTAGCTGAATAGCTTTGCACTGACTGTATAGTCTGCACTGATATCCATGGATGGAAATAGGAGTATGGACTCTGGCAGAGAGAGATTCATCTTTGAATAGAACAGACCTCAAGGTGTAAGTGTCTTAATTCAGAGACAAATCCTGTTTGGTATAAATGTAGGTGTGATATCTAACTTACTGTATCTAACTTACCTACAGACGGTGAAATTAGAACTAAATCATTTGATTTCAGTGTAGCAGTTAAGGGTACAAAAAGGCAAAAATTTAAGTAAATATCTATGTAGAACCAGATACTACCAATTCCCTTCCATTTGTGTGCTATTCTTTTTTTTTTTGACATCCTCTGCAACACTTTTCTTCCCAACAACAGCAAATCTGCCAGTTAATAAGATTTGTTTAATCCTCAATTCTGAAATTATTTGGGGAAAGAACAGTTTTTGTCAATATTTCCTCCACGTAAGGGTTTGTTTCCTTTCAAATCAGTCACTTATTTTCATCCTTTGAGTCAACAGGACTTCTCTGCAATTCCTGTTGAAGAGGATCATTGGTTTGTTATCACTGTGTGCCCTTTGGTCATCTCCCCAAGGAGTCGACCAATTTCCTATAAAAGTGAAAATACAAAGTTGCTGTAAGAATTAAGTGATCTTATTAAGGACGCACTAAATCATAGAAAAGAATAGGGGACAGCAAGGAAGAGAGATTGGATGGGGCCCTGGGCAGCCTGGTCTAGCATTAAATAGGGAGGTTGGTGGGCCTGCATGTGGCAAGGGGATTGGAGATTCATGATCCTTGAGATCCCTTCCAACCCTGGCCATTCTGTGATTCTGTGATTCTGTGAATGTACTGTGACTATGACACCACTGATACTGATAAGCAGTGGGCACTAGAGTAAAGGTTATTGCTCTAAATATGTTATTCTATCTGATGATATTCCTAGACTATTTTTTATTTATTTATTGTGTAACTCATTCTGCTAAGCTTTGTGTTTAAGAGAGCATGAACCTCCCCATATTTCCCTATATCAGCTTGGCTGCTGTAAAGGAAAAGAATTACAGAAAATATCAGGTCAGTACTTTTTCTTTCCTTCTTCTCTTTAATGGAAAATCTTTTCATCAGTCTGAAAATTCAAATTTGTTCTAAGCATCTGAGAAAAAAAATTATGGACACAGGGAAGTCAGATCGAAGGAAGATTAGTTTAGAGGAGAAACTGGGATGTTTATGGTTAAATAGGATTGAAAAAGAGAAGAAGATGAAAGCAGTTGCTGAATGATGGACACATGGCAGTGATTTTTTGATGTGGTATAAGAGTGGTAATGGATCCTAAAATTCAACACAGAAGGGACTAATAAAGGCTTGCTGCTCAGACTGAGAAGATTGGTTTCACTATTGCTTATACGGTGCATTTGGTTAAGTTTTTAGTCACATGCCTGATGTCTGTTTATGAGGAAGTTCTGGCATGGCTACTGAATGACCAAGGAAGTTCTCCTGGCATTTATTTCTTAGGTCAGAAAAAGATGCATCTGTTTCAGAGATCCATGAGTAAAGTTTTCCTGCAAATACCTGTGAGATTTGAGGCTATTGAGGGATTTCACTTTTTCAGACTCCATGCCTCACCTCACATGGGGGTGGAACTGGGATTGGATGCCTCCTGGAATTACTGAGAGATGGGAAGGACTGAGATCCGCAATGTGAACAGAAACCCAATGGCCCACCCTTAGTTTAGGGTACAGCTAAGACATCTTGATGTAAGCACAACAAATACTGTCTTTGACAGGTTTTGCCTACAAAGCAGTGGGAATGTTTTCCTGTTTCTGTAGTGAGCCAGACTAGTCTGTCTTTCCACATAAGCACGTCTTGCTTCACCTCATCCAGGGCCCCGCCTGTGCCATGCATAATTCTTTTCTCTACCCATCCAGACCACTGATTCTTTTTGAAGCAATACTTTTTCTGCATGTCTCCCTTCTGGGTTTCTTTTTATTAGTGTCACTAGTGCAGAGATTTTATGAGTGCCTGTGAGCCTTGCATGCTCCCTTGATCACCTTCAGGGCTGGCCAACATTTTTAATCACATAGGAGGTTTGTGGATAGACATGACCCTAATGAAATTGGGTGGGAGGAGAGCCAAGACAGTCCAGCTGTGTGACTGTGCTTTCACTATGTGACATGTTTACTGCCTGGTGCTCACTGAGGAGCACCTCAGCTTCCCTCCTCCCTGCCTGGCCAATCAGCTCTGCTTGTCCCCGGTGTCCCTGAGTGACTCTGGCTATGAAGATAAGATGAGTGGAGAAAGCAACAGGAGAGGAAAGCCTTAAAACCCATCACAGTCCTTTATTGCCATCCCCATCATTAGCCAACATCTGGAAACACACATTGGCAGGGCTGTTTACTTGCTTTTATTTTCTACACTTTGCCTTGGATGGTGTTGCCATCTGATATAATTAATGAGATAGAAAGCTATAGCACCTTTCCCCTTCCTCTGCCACTATCCTGGGGCCCTCGGAAGCTGATAAAAAATGCTGTCCAGCTGCAGTGAGTCTTTGGTGCTCTGCTTGCAGCTGCTGCAGTTGGCTGTCACCCCTTTGGGTG